TACCCCCCTCACCCTAAAAATAGTGAGGGGGGAATAATATAACTAACCTGTAAAAATTAAACTTACCATTTGACGTCTTCTTTTTTCTAAAATCTTCTTTCTTCAGCCCCCAAAAAGGCCAAATAAAAATCCATCATACCCGTCGCCCTTTAAAAAAAAAAAAGAGCTAAAAAAAAAATTAATCCATGTTCGCCCTTCGAGGGCACGCCGCGTACTGAGCTCCGCAGGGCGGGTCAAGGCTTATAAAGCCTTGCCCCGCCCTGCAATTAGGCTTGGAACACTCTGATTGGTGGGTTTAATTATTTATTAGGGCCCCCACCCACCGCGCAGGGGTGGGGGCCAGGGGGGAGGACAGTAGGTCCCCCCCCTTATTGTTTTATTGGGGCCCCCACCCACCGCGCAGGGGTGGGGGCCAGGGGGGGAGGACAGTAGGTCCCCCCTATCTTTATTTAGGGCCCCCACCCACCGCGCAGGGGTGGGGGCCAGGGGGGGAGGACAGTAGGTCCACCCCTTATTCTTTTATTAGGGCCCCCACCCACCGCGCAGGGGTGGGGGCCAGGGGGGAGGACAGTAGGTCCCCCCCCTTTATTGTTTTATAAGGGCCCCCACCCACCGCGCAGGGGTGGAGGCCAGGGGGGGGAGGACAGTAGGTCCCCCCCCTTTATTGTTTTATAAGGGCCCCCACCCACCGCACAGGGGTGGGGGCCAGGGGGGGAGGACAGTAGGTCCCCCCTTATTGTTTTATAAGGGCCCCCACCCACCACGCAGGGGTGGGGGCCAGTAGGTCCCCCCCCTTATTGTTTTATAAGGGCCCCCACCCACCGCTCAGGGGTGGGGGCTAGGGGTGAGGACAGTAGGTACCCCCTTATTGTTTTATTAGGGCCCCCACCCACCACTCAGGGTAGGGGAGGGGGGGAGGACAATAGGTCCGCCCCCCCCTTATTGTAATTTATATAATTTTTTTTCAACAGTGAGCAGCCACAGGCTTGAGATGGCTGAGTTTAATGAGACTATCAGTTCTTTATAATTTGGAATAAAAAACATTGCATAATTTAGAAGGCCAACAATGCTCCTCAGTTGTTTTAAATTCTTTGGAGCAGAAATATTCAATATCTTATCTTTGTAGGACGTAGTCAAACCACGATCTTGATTCGAGATTTCAAATCCTAAATAGTTTACTGTATGTCTTGCTATTTGTGACTTTTTTAATGAAATAATATAGCCAGCTATTTTCAGTCTATGAAGAACTGTTTTCAATACATCCAAATGTTCACTTTCAGTGTCATGTGAAAAATATATATCATCTACATAGACTTCCACATTAGGAATGTCAGTTAGCAATGAAATAACATCTGCTGTAAATAATGCCGGAGAATTAATAAAACATTGTGGTAATCTCGTCCAAACATACTGCCCAGGTAAAACTAGTTATATAATAACTTTCAGGACTGATGGGATGGCTCCAGAAACCATTGGATAAATCCAATGTTGTTTTATATTTTGCTCTAAACATATGCTGTAATATGGATGGGGAATGTGTATTCTGAGCTGCTACAGGTGGTGTAACTCTATTCATCTCTCTATAGTCTAATACCATTCTCCATTTATGGTCTGATTTTGGTACAGGATAGATGGCAGAATTCATGGAACTATATTGTTCCTTAATAACACCTTGTTTCAGAAGGTCATTTATTACAATCTGTATATCAGTTATTGCAAGTGGGTTAATTTTATATTGTGCTTGTTTCTTAGGTGCAAGTGTACCTGTTGCTATATAATGACAAATGTCTCTCCTGTGTCCTACTTGATTTTCCCATTGTTGAAAAACATCCTTATTCTGTACTAGAATTTCTTTTAATTCTTTTTTATTTGATAATGAGGTGAAATTTAATTGATGTTCTATATGTGAATCAACATTAATAGGTACAGTAAGCTGTAGTGCAGGTTTTGAAACTATATCTATGGAATGTGAAACATCTTTATATGCAATTAAAAATGAAACATCCAAACTAGGATGTTCAGCCAGTTCAAGATTAGCCTTCCTTCCATTAACTTTAATAGTATCATGATATAAAGGATATGTACCATTGCCCTCTAATGTTTCAATAGTAACATTAGAAAATGGATTGGTTTCTAATATGTTTTTCTGTACAAGTGAAATTTCTGCTTGTGTATCTAAAACCCCTTCATATGTCCTCAGATCATATGTAATCTGCAAATCAAGATTATTCATCCTGATTTTCTTCTTCTTCTGGGTTTTGATTCTCGGTTTTCTTTATTTTTTGTATATTTCTGGTTGTTGCTGGAGGATGTGTTGGAGGATGTGAGGATGTTGATGGGGTAGTAGAACTTTTATCTGGTCCTGTTCTGTCTCTATCCCTGACTTGTCCTGGGGATCCTCCGTATTTGTCTGGGCCTTTAACCCTTGGTCTCAATCTATATCCTCCGCTATATCCAGGAAATTCTGAATATCTTAGGGCTTCTCCTTTGGAAGTTGACTGATATCGTTCAGTACGATCTATCTCTGTAGTCTGTTCTTTTTCCCTTTGATATGTCCTATATGAGGGACGAGAATAATCCCTGTTAGTTCCATCTATAGATGTAGATGGTCTAGATTCCCTTTTTATGAATGTAGAACTTCTCCTATCTTGTTTTTGCCTGTCTCTTCTAGGGGTAAATGCTGCATTGCTTTTCCTATCTTTGTTTCCTGCTTTTTCTTTGCTTTTATACCCCTCTCCTGTACGATCCTTACCTAAAAGTGTGTATGTGCTCCTTAAGATTTCAGGCATTCTGTCACTTTTCTCATTCTCGGTCAATCCATGCAACCTTCTTTCTATGTCAAGTATTAATGCTTGACCTTTTACTAGTGGTTTCAAGCAACCCCAAACCATGGAATGATTTCTGCTTGTGAATCTCATCCCTAAATTATATGCTGCTATAATCCCTGACTTTGAATTCACTCCCGCTAGTGTGTCTGACAGTGTAGAAATCGTCACTTTGCCATAAGTCTTTTCATATAGAGTGGATATTACAATATCCCAGTTTTCAGCTTCAGCTTGTGTAATTGACAGTCCAGAGGGCAGTAATGCATTTACTAGCCCCTGTCTCTGAACTGCAGTTTGAGTTGGGTAAACCCCATCTAACGCATGTGTTTTTTCATTAAGCCATAATGCTATTTCCTTAGCAGATGTTGGTACTGTGCCAATAGTAGCTTTAATATTAGACATAGGAATACCCTGTATTCCTGTCCCCACTGTGTGAACTATAGGAGCACTAACAATTGGTGCTATTAACGCCTGTCGTAACAAGTCTCTCAAGAAAATAATTTCTGGCATTAACCTCTCTCTTTCTGCTCGTGCAGACTGTGCAGGTGCCGGTAATTCATGGCTGTGTACGGGAACATATAGTAATCCCCTACCTATACCCCACTGTCTTGGGACTAATGGACCATGTCTTGCTGGTGTATTAGGTATATTAGGTCGTTAACCAAATAGTTGTATATATGTCTCTCTTGTCTTATTTATTAAGGTCTGTGTACTTAAATCTGTTAAAGTATTAGACAGTTCTGTAAATGTTGGCTGATCTAGATCCACATTTTCTGCATCAGTTAATTGAATGCTGATTACAGCATACCTGGCTCCTGCACCCCAAGGTGCTATAACGTCTTATAACTTAGAATTTAGCAGGGCTAACCATACAGATATCTTAGCTAAACTATTGTATAGTCGGTATAGAGTTTCTCTATTTAAAATACATAAATAATTAAGAATACAATAAAAATAGGAGTTGGAAGCAAAAACTTTTGTCTTATTAATATAGTTTATTGAATAAATGAATAAAGATCCATTAATATATCATAAAGCAGAGTATATAAAATTAAATGAATAAATGCTTGCAATATAATTAGTATAACATACCCTCCTGATTATACAGGTAATCTCTCAGTATGTCACCTCCAGAGTCGGTCAGTATGTCTCTACCTAGCATTGATCATGCATGTATATATAGTATAGCATTTCTAATTACTACTGGTAATGTATGGGTTAATTCATCTTAGGGTTAAAAGCAGTTTATATATAAAAAAAAAAAAAAAACACACTTATCAGTCTAATGTCATAACCTAGACATCTTTAATCTGTATTTGGACTAGAAGTTAGGTTGACATACACCTTAGAGTTAAGAGAAGGTCATATATAAAAAATAAGTCTAATGTCATAACCTAGACATCTTTAATCTTTATTTGGACTAGACGTTAGGATGACATAGGCAAAGCCTTGAATTGTTATTGCATTAAATTAAGACAAGATGGAGTAAACATGTTGTGTACTGTAAATAGGTAAAAGGTTATTAGTTAAAGAAACAGTTGCAGTTTAAAGAAATACAATGTAGCAAAGTGTATTATACCTACAATTGCCCATCACAGCATGAACGCAGGCAGTGGTTTTTGGCCATAAATCTCGTGGAACTAAAATCGGATAGAGAAACTCCCGAACACCGCTGGACTTCCAGCATCGCCTGCGTTTGTTTCTATTCAGCATAGAAGGGCACTGTTCGGTGAGATAATTCGTCTGGATGAAGGGAAAAAGTTCCAGGGTAAGACTATTGACTCTGTTTGGTAGTTTGTTCGTTTTCAAACTACCGAACTAAACCGACCGCCTGCGGTCGGTCAAATATATGGCTTCCTTAAAATTTCTGAACCCCTGAACTGATCTGGGTAATTTTTGGATATGTTGGTCACCCAGATCAGGGCTACCAGAAGATGTAACGTTTGTAGGGATATTGTGTGTTTTGTGGTACTTTTTAGAAATGAATGTTTTTTCTGCCTGGAGATAATTATCTGGCTCAATCTGGCCCCGTCACACATATTCCTGGGGCATTCCCCACTTGACTTGAGAGTAGACTGAAGCAAAGTATACACAACATTACCTCTCCGGTCCAGTACATGTAAAATCATGTAAAATCTTAACACCCAATGTTATGGTTACCTCCAAGCTAGCTGAAGGCTGGACCTTTTGGATGTCCTGGTTCGTGAGGTTGGAGAGAGGGAAGCGCCGTTCCGTACAGCATACCACACGAATCCTGTGAATATAGAACAATCCCACTAGCTATAGTAAGTCGAGGCTGCGATTTGAGGGTCAAAACGAACTGGCTTTACTGGCACACAGGCATGGCCATTTATGCAAGTCCCCAGGTCCAGGGACAGCCCCCTCTGGACCTGATGGGATACAGGTACAATGATTCAACCAATCATATAACACTGTATCATTCAAACTAGTACCCACCCAGCTTGGACATAATGAGTCCAACGGTTATACAATCTCATTATCTCCAAGCGCCCAAAAGACCATGCTTTATTTTGTCTTAGAAAACAGCATAAAAATACACAACTTTAATATATTAAGGGGAATATAGTTAATTCGACTATTCATTCGGTAGCTCAGATCTGGGCGCATCAGGTATACGAATTGCGCCCAGATCCCACAAACAGAACAGAGGGCTTCTGTCATATAAAGTCTTATTCGGTACTTTTGTCACGAACTCCTGATGGCCATGTTTTAAGGCTGGTCAATGGACAGCGGTACCTCGACCTAGAACTCATGGAGCGGGTGTCGGCTATATATTTACATGAATCCCCACTCTCAGTATGGTTGTCCCGGCCGTTTGGGAAACGAACGGAGACCGCCCGGAAGGGGGTACTTAACCTGTGGTTAAGCGCAAGATCAATGTTCTAATTAAGGGCACACGCCAGAATGTAGGTGGTCCTCGTTCGTGAGGAATGTTTCAGTTCGGTGAATTATTATGTGAACGAGGCCACCCTGAGGCAGTCAATTAGGCTTGTGGTTAACCGCAGACGTTAAGTGGCGACACACGCCAAGGGCCGGATGGTCTTTTTTCGTATGCACGAATACATCGTCTTGACTGTTTGTGTTATATGTTTATACAGTAATACTACCGAAACAAAGTATACCGTCAAATAAAAAAAAGGGTAATCCAGTAACTATCTGTAGAGCGCCTGTAACACCCAAAAATATGCATTTCCCTACAAGGTACCCACTTTAATACTATATCCCCAGATAGTTTGGATCTGAGTGCCCAAGCTATCCAAAAAGCACTCAGATCCTACGAATGTAGCCGACCGCACACAAGGCCATGAAAATAGGCTGTGCGGTCAGTCTCTTTCAGAAGTACAAAATACATACAAAACAGCATAGCAACAGTTTGTGCGTACGTTCGTCTGAATATCTAGTTCGGGAGTTTGCTCCCCCTGAATGCCGCTCAGTTCGTATGGTTTTCCACAAAGATAATAGGAGGTGGAAGTCTCAGCGGTGTTCGCGCCAACGAGTGGCCAATTTTATAACATGACAGGAGGCTTCGTATTTGCTTTAGTCTCTCTTTACTAGAACTCCACAGCAGCACAGAAAAACAACCAATCAGAAAAAAGTTAGGTACTATAAAACCCCCTTCCCATTGCATCATTTCCTCTTTCTTTGCTGCTCCGCAGTCAGTACAGGTCAGAGTACCACTGCCTCCTGCTTATAGTGGGTGGCTTTGGGATTTAGTGTGATTTATTTATGATTGTTATTAATTATGCTTGCTTGTGAGATTTATGTGCCTTTCTGGCTCTTTTCTTTTCTTTGGGGAATGTTTCCTCTACATTACTGATAGTTTGCCATGTGTTTATTTACACAGATTACTGGTAGTTTTTCCATGTGTTTATTTACACAGATTACTGATAGTTTGCCATGTGTTTATTTACACAGATTACTGATAGTTTTGCCATGTGTTTATTTATACAGATTACTGATAGTTTTGCCATGTGTTTATTTATACAGATTAATGATAGTTTGCCATGTGTTTATTTACACAGATTACTGGTAGTTTTTCCATGTGTTTATTTACACAGATTACTGATAGTTTGCCATGTGTTTATTTACACAGATTACTGATAGTTTTGCCATGTGTTTATTTATACAGATTACTGATAGTTTTTCCATATGTTTATTTATACAGATTACTGGTAGTTTTGCCATGTGTTTATTTATACAGATTACTGGTAGTTTGCCATGTGTTTATTTATACAGATTACTGGTAGTTTGCCATGTGTTTATTTATACAGATTACTGATAGTTTGCCATGTGTTTATTTATACAGATTACTGGTAGTTTTGCCATGTGTTTATTTATACAGATTACTGATAGTTTTGCCATGTGTTTATAGATACAGATTACTGGTAGTTTGCCATGTGTTTATTTGTACAGATTACTGGTAGTTTGCCATGTGTTTATTTACACAGATTACTGGTAGTTTTGCCATGTGTTTATTTGTACAGATTACTGGTAGTTTTGTCATGTGTTTATTTACACAGATTACTGATAGGTTTTCCATGTGTTTTTTTTTATACAGATTACTGGTAGTTTGCCATGTGTTTATTTATACAGATTACTGGTAGTTTTGCCATGTGTTTATTTATACAGATTACTGGTAGTTTTGTCATGTGTTTTATTTGTACAGATTACTGGTAGTTTGCCATGTGTTTTATTTATACAGATTACTGGTAGCTTGCCATGTGTTTTATTTATACAGATTACTGGTAGCTTGCCATGTGTTTTTATTTATACAGATTTCTGGTAGCTTGCCATGTGTTTTAGTCACAGATTTCTGTGAGGTTTCCATATGTAGATATATCACAGATTACTGTGAGTTTCCATATGCAGATATATCACAGATTGCTGTGAATTTCCAGATCTATATATCACAGACTACTGTGAGTTTCCATGAGTATATATTC